GAATGTGTGCATAAGTAAGTGTGGTGAAGAAGGCTGATGGTGCCCAGCTATCGAGACCTATAGTGTCTGGGAACTTAAAGGCTTGAAAGTAAACAAGCAGCCATCTAGCCCAGAAGCAACAAAGCCCACATGGAAGCAGCACGCCAACATGCGTGATCATGAAGGTCCGAAGGGACCAGGTTTCAAGCAACAAAGATGGGGGTGGGGAAAAAAATCATATCATCGTGAAAGAGGGTAGCGCATGATGGGGACCCAATGCCCATCTGTAGACAACTGGACACCCCTTGCAGAGGGGTAGTGGGGAGGAGGTGAGTCACTCAGGGTTCAGTATAGCAATAATGAAACTCACAACCTTCCTCTAGTTCTTAAACGCTTCCTCCCCCGAACTATCATGATCCCAATTCTACCTTGCAAACCTGGTTACACCAGAGGATGCACAGAGGTACAGATAGGAACTGGAAACACAAGGAATCTAGGACAGATGAACCCCTCAGGACCAGCGGTCAGAGTGGCGATACCGGAAAGGAATCGGGGGTAGAAAGAGGGAATTGATCATAAGGATCTACATATAACCTCCTCTCTGGGGGATGGGCATAAAAGGGTGGGTGAAGGGAGACACCCGGCAGTGTAAGATAAGATAAAATAATAATTTATAAATTATTAAGGGCTCATGAGGGAGGGGGGAGGAAGGGGGAGGGGAAAAAGGAAAATGAGGAGCTAATTCCAGGAACACAAGCGGAAAGCAAATTTTGAGAATGATGAGGGCAACAAATGTATGTGTGCTTTACACAATTGATGTATGTATGTATTGTGATGAGTTGTATGAGCCCCAATAAAATGATTTTTTAAAAATTAAGTACTTGAATTAGGAAGTACATAAAATCTAAAAACAATAATGTAGACTTGCCCTTTAAGAAGGGGAGGTGGGAGAAAGGAAGGGGGTTAGGGGTACCAACCCAGGTACAAAGGAACAACAAGGGAACTGAAATCAATGGAGAGAAGGGAGTAGGATACCTAGTGGGGCTTAAACAAGAGCAATGTGGCAGCAAGGAATCACTAAACCTGAATGAAGGCCAGACATGATGGTGGGACAAGAGGAAAGTAAAAGGAAATAAAGGAAAGAACCAGGAGGCAAAGGACATTTATAGAGGTCTAAACACAGTCATATACATTTGTAAAAATATATATTTATATTTCATTATTGCTATACTGAACCCTGAGTGACTCGTCTCCTCCCCACTACCCCTCTGCAAGGTAT